AAAGATCGAAGAAGTGGCTCCCAAGGTGGAATCAAAGGTCGAAGAAGTGGCTCCCAAGGTGGAATCAAAGGTCGAAGAAGTGGCTCCCAAGGTGGAATCAAAGATCCAAGAAGTGGCTCCCAAGGTGGAATCAAAGGTTGAAGAAGTGGCTCCCAAGGTGGAGAAAATTGCGGAGGCGCCTAAAGCAGCAGCAGCAGCACCAGAGAGCGTGCCGGCGCAGGTAGAGAAGGCAGCGGAGGCTGTCACCACCAAGGTGGAGGCGGCAGCAGAGAGCGTGCGCAGCAAAGTAGAGGAGGTGTTGGCATCCCCTTCTGCAGCAGAAGCGGGTGGCAGCGCGAGCAAGGTGGAGGCTGCCGCGCCAGAGCTGCCAAAGTACGGGCCTGGCTCTGCAGAACGGATCAGGGAGGCGAACATCCGAAGGCCAAGTGAGTGCACCCGCCTGAATCCGATGGAAGGCAGCAGCTGTGTGCTTTGCTTGTGAAGAAACTGCTTTGCAGACTTCGTGCCGCGACTAGAAGAACTGTTTCAGCAAAGTTTTCCCATTTTTATGTTGGCAATCTGTGTCATTGCCCGAGCCTGACTTCTACCCTGGAATTGCGCATCGTCTTTCCTTCCTCTGGCAAATGTGTCGTCTGTACTGAGGTTCGATCAAAAGACAGGAACCTTTTCAGGAAGTCATGTTTTGAGCCAGCTTGCGCCTGCGTCATTGAGTTGCCCCACCCTGTTGTTACAGCAAGCGCTGAGAAGTACTCCGGCAATCCGGACGATGTGAACCCGTCGGACCCCATCTACCAGCGGATGGACTCCTCCAAGATGCCTGATCTGCCCTACCTCTTCCCCAAGGAGAACTATGGCACACCCTGGGTGCCCCCTGCCGACGCCCCCGCCGACAAAATCAAGCCCTTCTTTGGACCTTGGGATATTGGCCCAGCGCCCGAGAAGGAGATCACGCGGCCGTTTGTGAGTTTCCGTCCTCTTTGCTGTTTCTCACATGTATATACTGAGTGCAGCTCCGTCACTAGTTCTTCTGGTCTGACAAGAAGAGACCTGCCTGGGCAAAACTGCTCAATGCTGATGGGTATTGGTGCTTTTAATGACCTCATGGAGTATCTCTCTGGTCTGCGATGTGCAAACCATCTCCTTAGCAGGCTGCTAAAAGGCCATCGCTAAGTTAAAAGCTCAGCAATTGGGCCCATTGTTTTGCAGAGAGAGCTGGAGTTTGAGGAGACATTATTCCCTCTGGGCATGGGCCTGTCGGCCATTGCTACTGCAGTTGGCTTCTGGGTATGGAATCTTGGGAAACCGGAAGTCAACTGGGATCTCCTTCAAGACCCCACTGGCGTTGTAAGTCCTTACTGCCCCTCTCATTTGTCTTTGTTTGCTTGCGCTGCCGCAGATAGACTCAACACCGCAGAAAGATGGCGATGCCGGCAGGGGGATTGCCTCTATCTATCTGGCCATCATAAATCTGGTTGTGGTCGGAGGATACTTAGTGGCTAAAAAGGCACAGAAGGGAGAGCTGGATGATTTGCTGCCATTTGTGGTGGAAACGAAAGAAGGGGAAACGGACAAAGGGGAAGAAGGGCCGGTGAGCATCGAAATCTGGGTTGGCATTCCTCTTGGTTGTCAGCCATTCACTGTCCATTTGACACCGATATGGGATGAAGTCATGAGTCTGCGCGCAGGAACCACACACTCTCGATGTGAGCTGACGTAATGAATCTCAGGTGGTGATGGTCTAAGTTGTAACTTCGCTGAACATTGGTGGATTATTTTGTCTGAAAAGACCACCAGTACGATTGAAGACAGGGCCGTCATCCCCATCCATCCTGATTTCTCAATCCGTGTTTGTCTACTAGGTGCAACAAATGAAAGCCGAAAAGGCAGCCTTTGATGCCGCGGAGGCTGAGCGCATTGCAAGGGGTGAACCTGAGGAAGAGTCTGCGGTGCCGGAGGAAAATAAGCACTGAGACCTGTATTGTCTTGAACAGGTCCTGGTATATAGATGGGTTGGCGTTGGACTTGGAGCCTTTGCATTGATCTGGAGCAATGTTGGATTGCCTCCATTAACTAAATGCTGCACATTTCGAGCAGCAATGTTCCCTCTTGAAGTTGCAAGTTCAGAAATGGAACCGCGCCTCATTCAACCACTTCCATTGGGTGCTTGACGTGTTGACATTGCCTATCTCTCTCTTTGGAATCATGCAGAAGGGTAAAAGTTACCTTGCCACAATTGCGCTTCAAGGGATGATGTGTAAGTCAATTGCAAGCCCTTGCGTTGGCAAAGGCGTTGCTCTGAGGCACTAAATTAAACCGGTAATGATATGCATTGACAACGACTAGCACGGTTGAAAGGACCGGGGGTTCAGTGTGCCATCATTGCCATTTTGCGGAGTCTTGTGGCCGATTGAAGGAGACTATGTCCCACAACCTGCTTCAAAGTGTAGATTCGGAGCGGCCATGCTTGGTTCAAATCGGCTGGCATGGCAGCGCACATGCTCCCAAGCAACTCGTTGCACCTGCACCGTGAATTCGTGATCTGCAACTTGCGCACGCGCGTGTGGCTCAATACATAGCGGGCAAACTTGAAAGTCAGTAGCTCATGCGATATGCTCATTCGCTATGCATGTGCAAATGACGTCACTGACTTCAACGCTATGTACGTGTAGCATGTACTAATAGGAAACACTAATAGTACGTGCCGGTGCAGTATATAGGTATGTCAAAGGAACTTAATTATAAGACCATGCCACATATATGATGACAAGCTGTCTCGGACCTAAACTTCGCAAAAGGCCATATAACAACATGTTTGAAGTTCATATAAGAGTATAAGCAACGTATAGGTTAATCGTGTCTGCCTCGCTAAGATTGGTTTACCTATATACTATACTCATTACTGGGGATTCAAGCTACCTGCAAGACAGCAGCTACATACGATATGGCTACCTTTCAGCTGATATATTGTCATGGCGCCATATTGCTAAGCTCAGCTTTCAAGACATGAGCATTGCATGAAGGATTGAAGGGACAAGTCACCCGAGCCAGTCAGGTAGGCCGCCCGGCTTCCGAGCACTGCGCGCGGCCGCATGAGCGGCGCGGCCAAGGCTGTGGGTGATTTATCCCACTGGCAGGGTTTAGCAGGGTCGGAGCTGGCTGCTGTCCGTGCTACAATCACGGTACTTTCTCCGCGAGCACTGGGACCCAGAATCTGGACCCTTGAAGGTATGGTACCCTTCCAAGACCCCTTCTTTGCAGTTAGAAGATCTTGAGCTACATTTGTCAAAGGCTGCACAGCCGTCGATTGCAGCGTGCAATCGCGAGTCGGAGAAAATACAACTCCTGACCACGAGTCTGCAGAGTTCGAAACCAGTGACCACGTGATCAAACGTAAGGCTATGATAGGCTGGAAACGATCCTGATAAGATCCCAAGCTGGATATATCAATAATCTCTATATTATTATATTTGCGAAAGAGTATCGAATCGAAGTAAGCTTGCACGTTCCTCCTGCCCGTGAGGGACGACTTCGTAGTACTCAGTTCGCCACATACACAAAACAAAGTCTTGAAGGTACTCAATTGTTCAGACTCATTGGGTCCCTGCTTGCGCAGTCTTGGTCCTGCTCGATCGTGCTTCTCCTTGAAGTTGTTGCCTTCTGCAGGAAGAACACCTGTAGAATATTCTCTGGAGCGCAAGGGAGAAAGTTGTTTGGTAACCTTGTGCCAGCATCAAGAAGCATGGCTTCCTCCGTTGCTGCGTCAGGGCTTGCCCGGGCCGCTGTGCTGGCCCCCCAGTTCAAAGGACAGGAGTTGAGGAGCTCCGGGAATGTGCAGAAGGCGTTCCAGGTTAAGCCCTGTGTTGCCAGGACAACGTGCTCAGGGGAGAAGACCCCCGTGCAGCAGTTCGTGAAGAAGGTTGCGGAGGCAGGGAAGGCAGCGGGGGTGGTTGCCGCTACCTCCCTCCTATTGGCACAGGTCAGTGGTGGCCAGTGCAAACACGAGCATTTTATGAATCACCCTGAATTGGCACTCACTGTAATGCCATACGCAAGTAGGAGGGGTCTGGACTGGATAAATTGCGCAAGCACTTCAACGCTTTGTGTCCGGCCCTCACCTTGTATTGGTATAAGTTAATTTCGAGGTGAAAGGTATGGGTGCTGTTCAATGCATTGCATTGCGAAGCCACTGTTTCGTTTGCCCCATGGTTCTCTTGTTGCTGCAAATCTTGGACAATGAGATGGTATTTGCAGTGTTTCGATGCCTTCGGGCATTGTGGTTAAGTCGGAGTTCTTCACTCTTGGATAAGAAGGATGCAAGGGTTAAATGGTGCCCTCAAAATGTTAAGTCTGTAAATAAACTTTCGCGGCATTTTGTGTGCTAGCCTTGCAGCAGGCTTGTCGCAGGCTTCTTCATTCTTGGCCGACCGATAATATACTTTCAGCATGACTGGGAACCACAGTGAGAAATGCTCAGCGTATCTGGGATGCTGACCAAGGGTTTTTGTGCGGTGTGCCAGGGTGCGCTGGCTAAGGAGCCCCCAAAGCTCACCTTCGATGAGCTGAACAGCAGAACGTACATGGAGATCAAGGGGACTGGCATTGCCAACCAGTGCCCGATCATTGGTGGGGGTGAGGATGGTTTCAAGGTGAAGGCTGGCAAGTACACGCTGAAGAAGCTGTGCATGGAGCCGACCTCCTTCACCGTGAAGGCGGAGTCGCAGTTCAAGGATAAGCCCGTGGACTTCCAGAAGACGAAGCTCATGACTAGGTTGACTTACACACTGGACGAAATTGAGGGGCCGCTCGATGTGAGTTCGCCTCACTTCAGTCTGGACATTCTCTCATTCTGCCTGATTCTCAGCGGTGCTGCGCTGTCAGTTCATCCAATCTAGAACAGCCAGTAGAGTGAGGAATTGCATTCAATGATATGACTTGGCTGTTGCCAAGGCATCGTTGCTCGCATTTGGCCACTCACCCTTTGCAACCCTGAGTTCGGCACATGACCACAGGTATTGCACCGCAGAAGCTTCAAGTTACCTTTATTGCTTTGAGTTGTGCGGTTGACTTTTTGAGTTAAAGGATACCCCTACGATTATAGCTGGAAGTTTTAATCCACACGGGCTTCATTTAGAGCTGCTTGGCAATTGAAGGGTTCTTCAGCTGGATATGTCAGCACTTGCACTGCATTTTGTAAAACTTAAAAGTGGGGCTTCAAGTTGATATGAGCAGAAACCCCAGCAGAAAAGGGCACTTAGTAAAGCTGGGTGGAGACATGAGATGATCAATCAGTCAAGTTCCTGCGGACTGGGTGCAATCTTGTATCTTTTCTTTAATTGTCTTCCGCACCCAAGAGCTGACGTACGAAGAGACGAGCCTACTGTCGCGCTGGAACCTGGATATCTTGTTCTTTTAGAATTCTTGCAGCAATGCTGGATACAGGCTTTTGTTTAGCATTTCCGATTATTGACTCTTTTCCACCTTTACGTCAGCAGTGCAGCCAAGATGTCTCCCTCTCACAAGAAGCTCGTTGCTTTTGCGATATATATACGGTATAGTCCACCTCACCGGAACCACAAAATCCATGCTGTCCCATCGCATTAGGGTTCTGGTCCATAATAGGGTTTCATTGTCGTTCTCAGGTTGGCAATGATGGCAGCATCAAGTTCGAGGAGAAGGACGGGATCGATTACGCAGCTGTGACCGTCCAGCTTCCAGGAGGCGAGAGGGTGCCCTTCCTGTTCACCATCAAGGAGTTGGTGGCGACTGGAAACGCTAACTCTTTTGGCGGGCCATTCTTGGTGCCTTCATACCGGGGTTCTTCTTTCTTGGACCCTAAGGGCCGGGGTGGCTCTACCGGGTATGACAACGCCGTGGCCCTGCCAGCGGGGGGTGCTGGTGACGAGGAGGAGCTTGGAAAGGAGAACACCAAGAACACTGAGGCCTTGCAAGGAAACATCCAGTTCAGCGTTGCCAAGTCTAACCCCGAGACCCAGGAGCTCGCCGGAGTGTTTGAGAGCATCCAGCCCTCCGACACGGATCTCGGCTCAAAAGCCCCCAAGGATGTAAAGATCACCGGAATCTGGTACGCTCAATACGAATAAGCTTTTTGTAGACTGATTTAGTGACTTGCGGTATTCTGGAGCATAGCGGACGCACATCTACTGCCAGGTCGCAATGTGAACAATCACTGGACACTTGCCATAACAGCAGCCTTGAAAGTGCGGAGCTCTAGAAACTCGGATCTTGTGTATAGTGTGGGGTTGTTGAAGGCCAGTCCAAGTTGTTGCTACTCGTCCTGCTTATGTTTCCTCTCGAGTTGTTCACAAGTCCAACCGCAAAACTGAGACTGATTCAATAAGGCATCTGGGTTGCTTGCAGTCAACAATGTTGGCAGTGTACGAACTCTTTGCCTTCCATTCTTATCGCACTTGCGACTTCCAACACATTGAACTTATATGCTCTCCTGAGCCTGAAGCCTGAGTACTACATACTCGGAGCAAAGTCAAACCTGACCTTCTTTGGTGGAGCATGTAAGTTTTCAAGGCAAGCTATTGGTCCGCCCAATATTCTATATGTACACACAACCAGGTTTCGTTCCATCATTCCAAGTTACTGGCTGTAGTGCATTGGAAAACCGGCCTCATTGACTCAGAAGCTAGCAAGCATCGTCATGTTACGTAGGCAGCCGCAGATGGGATCTCATGATGACCCGCCGGCCACTTCCATTTAAGACCAGGCGCTGCTTCTTGCAAGCAGGCCGGGTCCCCCGGTGTTTCGAAAACCCTAAAACCGTTGCTATATGCACATGTCAAGAAAATAGCGGGATCCTATCGGCCGGCCGCAACCATGCTGCGTCTCATATGCATGACGTACAGGTATTGTTGGATCGTTCACATGCCGTGCTTCTGCGTGGATCATGTGTCATGGACTCCGGGATCTCGGTCCAGTGACATCCATTATTGGTTTGCTGACAACAGTAGACCAGCCTGTGCATGACAGACTCGACGCGTAGAGCTAGCTTCGCACTTTGTGTCATGCATCCAATCAAGACACGACATGCCAGCAAGCAACCAGGCAATCAGAACAGTGAATGGTCGATCCTCAGAGCCAGTACATTCAGCAATTGTCTAGCATCTCAGTGACGTTTGAATTTCACAGGACGGATAGTACCCAACACCATGATAAGCAGCGCTGATGCACTGCAATTAAGCAGACGCGACACCAGTAGTAATCCGCATTATGCAACCATCCACTCATCCTTGCTCACGCAGTACACATGCCTAGAGATCAAGCGGATAAGGGCAACGCCGCACACACAGCACAAGGCTCCGCAAACTCAAAAAACTCTGCATTCTCAACCACGTTTGTGTTCGCTGTGTTGCTTTGAAAGTAGGTGTTGCAAGCTTGGAAAAACAAGTAGTCTACATCGCAGCCTTCTCACGCAAAGCCTCTGCAAGCCCGCTGCAGCACAACCGAGTCAGAATCAACTTGAATCCGTTTGAACCTTGCGCACATCTGCCATCCCACTCGACTGCGCCGCTGACCCCCGATGCCGTACGGGCCTGCTCGCCACGCCCGTGGCCCTGCTGCTGACGTCATCTCCGTACCCGTTCTGCTCCCACGTGGTCGAGCTGTTGCTGGCCGCAAAGTCGTGCATCTGGATACCCGTCGCGTGCTGCACCGTGTGCTGCCCGTCCTCGTACAGCCGCTTCAGCAAGCGCAGCAGCGTCGGCACAAACTTGGCGCTGATCGACAGCAGGCCCGGCACCTACAAAAGCGCCACTAATCAGTCCCATCTTCCGCTAGCACATTCTCTCAGCCTCTCTAAAGCGTCCTGTAACAGCAATTATACTTGCGAAGAAGTTGCTAGAAAGGATCGTTCCATTCGGATTTGGGCTCCAGGCGGCAATCGAGCGGCATCAATGACCCGTGGAGATGAACAACTCGGGAGTCGCAGCCTGTAGCCGCCCTTCTGCATTCTCTAGTCCGCTAGGGGGACCTAAAAGCGCTCATTACAAAGCAGACGCTTTCTTGTCGGCTCACCAGTCCGTTCTCAAACTCGGCGGATGCGTCGAGTTGCACCCACAGGGCCCTTCCAACGTAGTAGGCGGCAACCACGACGCACAACAAGAGGGGATTCCTGCACAAGAAAAGGAAGCCACCTTCGTGTCTTGAGATGAAAGGAGCTAACCAGTCAGGGGGAAAGGAACGCGTGTTTGAGGTCTGCAAAAAGTGAGTAAGTGGTTCCGCGCATCTGGCGTGTCATATATTCACTGCCCAAGTGAGGATCCGTTACTTAGATAGGGATTGTCTGGTAATAGAACAACAGACAAGGCGCCCCTCAAATGTGAGGAACAAAAGGACGTTGTCTATACTCAAAGAGTCGCCCACTAGATCAATCAGTAACGGCAAAACGCGAACACGCTCGATTGTTTTGAACCAGAGACAACAAACCAAACCCCTTGATCGAGAGCATTTCCATGGAGTCGCCGCTAATTGCGGCGTGGCGCCCTCAGCTGCTGACCTGACGAGCGCCATGAACTCGTTGAAGCCGAGAACGATCATGGCGACGATGGCCCACGGCGGCGGCAGCCACGAGTTGTTGCGCTTGTGCGCCTCCTGCGCGGCGATGGCGCTGCTGATCGTGTACTCCGTCTCCGCCTTCAACTGCCGCCACAGCGAGCGGCATGCGCTTGGGGTCAGCAGCGTCGCGGACGACGGAATCTGCAGAAAGACGAGAATCAAAGATCAGAACCTTTTTCGAAGGGTAATGTCGAGGCCTTGGAACGGGTGGGATTAAATGGGGGAAGAGGGCAGAGCTTGAAAATATGGGTTTGGAATTGAGTGAGGCTGTTGCTGCTACCTTTCACGGCAAGAGTCCCTTAGGAGGGTCACGCAATGCAAACGTGCCAGGGCGCCAAAATGAAACTCAGAGATATATGCAGCACGTGGCCTTGCACGGAAAAGACAAGGGGAAACGCAGTTGACGGCAAACTTCTAATGTACGGAGTCGGCTGCAGAGTCAGGGTTCGCCCAAGCGGCCAGTAAATACTGGGTCCAAACGCCTGGCTTTGACGTGCTCTGGGCATGGCGTTCTATTCTCGAGGCTATCTCCGGCACGAAATGCACTGGATTATGGACCACCGGTCGCACGTCCTCGAGACAATCACATTGCGACCCTGAGAAGCCCGCTCGATCGATTCTCCAGACTTACGTTCTCCCACGTAGCCCCCGCCAGCGCATTCCTGGACGGCGCCTCCTTGGCCCCCGCCGCGCTTCCTCCCTCTGAGTGCGGGTGCAGTGCCATGCTGCCCTCCTGCCCCTCCAGCAGAGTCTCCAGCGCCTCGGCCACGGTATCAGGGCCGTCGATGTCGTCCAATCGGACGGCGGCCAGAACACTGAGCAGCCGCAGCGCGCCGATGCGCGCCTCGCGCGTGATGGCCCGGATGTCCTCCTTGCCTGCCCACGTGCGCGGCATCGACTCGGAGTCGCGGCCAAACAAAGTGTTGAACCTGCAAAGAAAGGATCCGTCACGAGTCTGCACAGCGCGCTCTTACAATCTCTCAGCTTCAAGGATCATCTCAAATGCAACAGAGAGTTTGAAGGCACAACAGAATCGACGAATCGACTTGCTGATTGCCACACCGGAAGATGAGCCCGTGAAGAGACCAGTATTACAGCTGCATCTGAGCCTTAGCCCACCCAACAGCCTGTCAAAACGGAGAAATTCAAATACCCCCACCTCTCCTTCATCCTGATCAGCGCCTGCGTCGACTCCTCCTTGGCGCGCTTCTCCACCGCCTCCCTGCCCGCGTCCTCCAGCGCCCCCTCCAGCGCGCCGCTTTCTTCCGCCTCTACTTCGAAGCCCGCCACCGCGGCCGCCAGCTCCTGCTTCGCGTGCGCCGTCTCGCGCGCCAGCAGCTCACGCAGGCCGGGCCAGGTCTCGGAGGACGCAGCGTCCAGGAGCGAACTGGCGGGCTCCGCAAGCTTGCCTTGCAACGTGTCCTGAGAGAACGAGAAAAAAAGGTTATAAGGGCTGGAGTTCCACAAAAGTTGAGGTCCTTCCAAGTGCCGGATGTACAAAATGAGATCAGAACACCTGAGCCGGTTGGACAAACTGAGAATAGTTGATGGGGGTGATCGCAGCACAAGCTTCTCCAGAAAATCGTACGGATTTAGCAGCAGTTGAGAAAACACGAGCTGGTCGGAGTCCCAGCTCTAGCCTTTTGAACAATTTCGAAAAGCGAGTATCCATAAAAACAATGGCCCCCACCTTGGCCTTCGTTTGGATGGCGGCCAGTCGCTCGGTGCGCACAGCGGTCGCGTGGGCGTCGATGTCGCGCTGCAGCTTTTGCCGGGTGCGCAGGTAGTCCCACCCCGCACCACTCACGAGAGCATCTGCGAGGCACAAGCTAGATTCCTAAGAAAGCAAGAGAACCCTAAATGAGACTAGAAGACACACGCGGCTCCAGAAGAGCACTCGGGCCGATGTAGTCATTTTCGGACTTGACGAAAGAGAATGGACGTTTCTAGAATCATGTGAGTACGTCAGTTGGCCAAGCTGTTCCGGCAAGTACTTGTCGCCAGCACGCTATTACGACCATGAAATGAAACAAAACCCTCACCCGCGGCAGCCTTGTCGAAGGCCTTAAGCGCATTCTCGGTGCATCGCCTGCGCGCCTCCGCAAAGCCAGGCACGTCGGCGTCCTTGCTGGGCGGTCCATCGGAGGAGGTAGAGGGGACGCCGGAGGCCGCCAGCTCAGCCTTGAACTTGTCGAGCGCCTCTGCGCGCCGGTGACCCAACAGGGTCGTGAACGACTCGTGAATGACCTGGACACAACGGACGGGGACAGGTCAATTGACGTTCCGACAGTACTAGATCAAATGATGTCTCGACCGCCGGCTCCCCTGCGGCTTCTCACTTGGTAAGCACTAGCTTTTCGCATCACAGCGTCTTGGTTCCCCACGTTCCTGTTGGTGAAGAAAGTAAAAACCCGGACCTTACTCGACCATCTTCTCAAAAGCTCTTCCAATCGGTTTGGTAAAACCGGCGCAAGTTTTCCAAAATGATTCGCAAGTCCGGAAGACAAATACCCTGAGAAAGGTGCCCTTGCGACTCCCATCCATTTAGAACAACCCTCGTGCCAAGCAAACAGGTGTCGGAAGTGAAATCTTTGCCAGACAGACTCACCCCTACTGCGCTGGTGAAAAGGCCCTTCCGCTTCTCCGCCCGCACGCTCTCATCGAAGAAGGCCGCCTCCGTATCGTACCCCGTCAGGACTGCTTTCAGGAGGTCCCCCGCCTGCTTGCCGAAACCAGCCACGGGGCCCAGCTGCGTCTTCCGCTCCAACTCCAACCAGTGCTGTCAGACGAAAAAGGAGAAGCGGAATGTTTTGGAGGTCTAGAGTTCTTGCTAGCACTACCCACCATAAACCAGGGATCGACAAAATGCCATTTCATAGAGTGGGTAAACGGTAAGACTTGCACTGTGATACAAGGTGAAACCATTAAAACCTTGGAATGTGGATGACGTCATACGCCAGGATAGAAACACGTACTCCTTGCCTAGAAATTTTGCAGCTCAATTTATCCCTGCTTTTGGCGTACGTAAAGGGCATGCTGGACCTTCTCCAGATCTGTAGCCATCCTAGGACGAAATGCTCTTAAGCCGTATCTCTTCAGACGGGAAGACACCTTACCTGGTTACTCTTCAACTCCGCAATCTTCTCCGCAGCAATCTCCTCGCATCGCACTGTGGCCACCATGATCTGTGAAAACGACAGCTGTCAGCGTTCTCTTCCCAAAAGCGAGAGAAGTCAAGAAGCAGCTTCTGTGCTACACGAGAACACCGGCCAGGCTGGAACACAAACGTGTACAGACACCCAAAAGGTGGTCAATTGAACGGTCTGCCATACACCAGTCACTACAAGATCCACTTTCAGTTCGACAACATAACGCATGTCCATTCGAGCCCAGTCCATACCCTGACTTTGAAACCCTACGGGCTAAGAGTCTGACTGTCGAACCGTCGGATACCTGCGAGTTGCAAAGACCAGACGAGATGCGGAATAACACAGCCGGCAACCGACTGTACCCCCACTGACTTGGTGCAGCCTTGTATCCAGCTAGCAAACCTCATGAGCCTTGGTCTAACCATGTGCACCCGTTCGGGCGGCCCACCTTGTGTGCGGGCAGGTCGAGGTCCTTGTTGTCCTTGATCACTTTCCACATCTCCTGCATGCTCAGCGCAAGCGCCGTCCCCGGCACCACGCCCCGCCGGTCGCCGGCAATGCCGCCAGGTGCAATGGAGTTCTGGAAGCGGCCCCGCAGCTCCGCCACCTGATAAACGACCAACAGTACATGGCCAATAGCAGGTCCGATGGTGTCTAAAAATGAATTCCGGTCCATGTGCTTGACTAGACCAGTCGGATGCAAGAGAACGAGGACTAAGGCCTGCGGACAAGTGGGCCGAAAAAGGCTGGAGAAGCGGAACGAACTTGCCTGATCCCTGAACTGTTCTTCCTTCTCCTCGAAGTTCGACAGGGCCACCACCTCAATCTGCATGGAAGGTTAAAACAATTGCATCAGCGACCAGGTCAGATCGTTTCCTTTGCTCAAACTGAAGCAGCAAAATACATACAAACATATATTTCTGAGAAGACCTCCTGTGAAGCTCGAAAAGAGAGTTGGACGAAGATTAAAGCATATAAAGAGGGAGACTCGTGTCCTTCTCCCTAGTTCTGACCTGAAAGAAGTCCTCAAACAGCACCTCCTTCTCCTTGTTGGGCTTGGGCAGCGAGTCCCAAATCTGCAGCGCACCAATCTCAAAGGTCAGGACAGCTGGCGGAGTCAATAATATAAGCTACCCAATGCGCACGCACACACCTTGGAAGCTTCAAGAAAAAGCTGTTGCAAAGGTTTGAAGTAGGAGTGTATTACCTACAGAAAGCGCAACTGTCGACGTTTCTTGTAATATGGTACAGGTTCTGCTTGCGAGTGTTGACGGCTGGCTGCGTGAGGGGCTCACCTTGTGGATGTCTTCTCGAAGGATGGGCTCCAAAGTCTCCAGGGGGGTCTGCAAGAACAGAAGGTGCAATCAGAACGCCTCAAGAAGATTGAACACCACCCATGAGCAAGAAACTCTTTAGCTCTGACGAGTAAAATGCATGGCAGATGAGGGCTCGTCAGCAGGGGTGCTGCGGTAGATTGCAAGGTTGCTCAACAATTCGTCAATCCTGACCATTCTCCCTTCCTGCATACATCATTGAAAGACACACTACAAGCATGGCTTGCATACAAGAACCTGGCCACATCTCGCAGCATACTTTCGCATCTTGGGACGACGGTGCTCACCTTTGTTTTGTCACGGATGATGAAGAGTAGCTTGGTCTTGCGGGGAGTAAAGAGCCGCATCATCATCTGCGCAAGTCGAGGTCCGTATTGGACGTCTGGAACTCTGTTCTTCCGGAGTCTTTCTTGCAAACACACTCGAACGCCCCTTCCGAAATCCATTGAGGAAATGAATGAAGTGAATGCATCACACCAGGCATAGGCAAGTGCACAAAGTCCTCTGAAGCACGGGGCCTCTTACTTGCAAGTGGTGCAATCCACATGAGCCCCACCTGAAACACAATTTTGAGTAGCGGCTTGTTGGCCGCATGTTCGCGCCCGATGTCGTGGCACCACATGTTGATGAGCAGCACGTCCGCAACCGCCAGCGCAAACAGCGAGCTCTGCTTCTCAAACGTGGTGTCATCCTATCACGAGCAAATGTCAGAGCATATCAGCTCCAGCCATGTGCCTCTGACAGGAGTTCAACAAACTGACCTCAGCACAAGCAAGAACATGTGACAGTCAACGGGGCACACAGTGCTTACAATAGATGCCAATGCTGTAACAGGGAGGCACTCTAGAGGCAACAGCGAAGTTGTCTGCCTGCGCTCACTTCTCCCCTCTCCCGGCCATCCGTTCCTTCGAGATCCATCACGAGGGTCGTTGGTTCCACATTGGGCGCCCGGGCCAACCAAACACCCTTCGTTGTTTGGCTTCTGTGAGGCAGGACTTCGTGTCAGCATTATATACTCAGAGAAAAGGACTACAGTGTACAGACAGAGAAGATACATGTGATTGCCCCAACCAGCAAAATCATGATCATGCCCACGACATGTGTGTATCAACAAGGGTGGAGACTTGGATGTCTCACCTCCCTCGGAGGGCGTCCATCTCCACAAACTTGGTTCCAAAAAGGTGGTTGAGGAGAGTGCTCTTGCCTGCAACATACCACCGGGAAGGGCTTACAATCAGTACAGAAGAGCTACTTTGATAGAAGCACTGAAAGTGCCTCCAAATAACATGTGTCTACATTCTGTATTAGTCACAAAGGACAAAGTATTTTGCTGCAGGAGAAACCATAATTACAGAACCCGTTTTTACAAGCGGAAAGAGAAGATGCATCCACATGTCTTGAGCACAAACAAACAACGCACCGCTGCTCTGTGGGCCCATGATGGCAATCACAGCATACGACAAGCCGCACTCCGCGAGCTTGACTCTCCGGGCAAAGGATTCAATTCCCGTGAGGTTGTAGTTGCCCTCCCCATCAATCAGCTGAATCTGCTGTAGTGCTCCGTTCATCTCTGCCGCCGCCATGCTTCAATCCGACTTATAATGACGTATGCGCCCGTAATTCCACAGTCACTTTTACTGTGCTCTTGTCGATGAGGGGTTCGAATATGAACTGCTCCTATCCCGCTCCTATTTGCCACTGAGTTGCCTCTGCCCGTTGTCTCTTCGCCTGATCAACAACTAATCTTAGAGGTACCTAATCAGCGCCTGGCATTCACCATTTGAATCTAATGAGCTGCAGCCTGCTCACCACCAAGAACCTTTTCTCTCCAAAATCTGAAACTTAGAGCAAGTGCCACGCCTCAGAGTCGAAGTTAAACTTCAAAGTCGTTGTTGAAATATCAGGCGGCAAAAGTAACTAGAGAGTTCCTACTTGTCCATGGCAAACTTTAAGCCTGCTCCTCGCTCAGAAACTACTAGACCATTAACGCGCTTGATTGGCGGTAACTTCATCTCCCTAGTTGCACAAGCTTGTGCATGGGCGCCTGAGGCTGCAGCCTGGTCCTGCAATGCGATCGCTAGGCGCTGCTTGGCATGGCGCTCGCAGACCTCGCGCAGGCCAGCCACCATGGCGCCGTCCAATTCTCGGTTCCGGACCCCATTCTGAGAGCAGGCGTTGTCAGCAGCCCTGGGTTATCAGCAATGCGGAATCTCATGCTGAGGCGGGCCCTCGGCGCTGCAGCAGCTTTTGAAAAGCACTTCACAAACCAAAGACCAGCGTCAAAGGCAAGCACGTTAAGTTCAGTCCAGAGGCCCTTTGCTGGTTCATCCTCCCCCACCTATTTGCCCAATTCTGCAATTCCAACTCTGGCTCTGAGTTCATCCGATGGCAATTTGACAGGTGCTCTGAGGACGGCAGATGCAAGGCCTTCCTTTGCGGGCCATCATCCACTGTCATCTGCCTCTCCAACCGGTCCGGCCTGGTCCTCAAGGGCGGTGGCGCAAAGTCGAAGCACCAAAAGCGGCCAATATAATGCAGTTGGTAATGGTGCGGCAAAAGTGGAGACAGCTGGCGACGAGGGTGGCACTAAGTCCGGCGTGCCTTCGAGTGCTAGTAACGGCAGACCAATTGACACCGCTCCTGTGGGAAATGAAGAACCAACGTCCTTCAGCTTGGACCAGAATGGACACAGCACTGTGTCGAAGAACGGCGCTCCTGATTCGGTTCCAGCGGCGCTGCGATCTGATGGCGGGCCCTTAGGCAAGCAGGTGAAAAGGCGGGAGTTTTCATCTCAGGCTGTTCCGGTTGAGGAGGAAGGTGCCTCCAACGGCACAGAGTCTGCGCAGAATGGAAACCCAACTCGATACGACAAGGACGCCCAAGAGAGGAGAGCGCGGGCCCAGGCCAAACAGGCGCAGAGCACCTTTTTAAAGCCCCCTCCACGTCGCCCTACCACCGGGAAAAGTGCAACGCCACAGAAGACGACCTTTAAGGCCCCTTCAAAGTCCTCCAAGGGGCAATCTGGTGGCAGTGAGGTGCTACTTAGATCCGTTGCGGCCAATGAGCTTCGTACAGAGGATCTGGTTCCGCCATTTGCCGCGCGTTCAGAGGACAACAGCGATCTGGCGGTCTCCTCAAATGGCCGGGCTGGAGAAGCGTTGGAAAGTTTCTTGGCAGAGACGGGGAACCCAGGCAATGGCTTCGTTAGCGACCTACGAAGTGGGTCGGCAGACTCTCTTCCCAAGACTGATATTGCCAGCTCTGAGGAGATGTTTTCTACAAACGGCGCCGCAGTGTCGGGAAGCGGCCCCGTCGCGGGGGTGCTCACTAGCAGTTCGGCAAACCCCCCAGAGCTCAATGGCCGCACTCTTCCCCCCCTGGCCATCGTCGAAGGGAAAGTCCCAAAACCCAGGGGCCGCCCTTCTAAAGCAACCCAAGCCCCTGCAACGCAAACCCAGCCTCCCATTCTCGACAATCTGTCGGAAGCGCCCACCGTACAACCAGCTCCCAACAGCGGTGTAGCAAAAGCCGTGCCCTTGCCCGTGTTTTCCAACACGGTGCAGCCGGTTTCGAGGCGGGTTGTAAACGGGGCTGTGGGGAAGCAGCCGGACACAGTGCGGGGGGCGCCGATGCGGGACCTCCTGGAAGAGAACGGCATCATCCTGCCGGACTACTCAATTGGGGAGTACCGCATCCTGTGCCCAATGGTGAGGAGGAATAGTTTTGGATTTTTTGAGGTTCTCCTGTAACACTGTAGGATCTAGTGGTTGGTGGTGATTTGCATCTTCACTGTCTAAGACAAGTCAGGCCCTCTTCCGTACTCTTCTGACCACATTGTTACTTTGGGCCTGGGCACTCGTTTTAGAAGTCGACTCGAACTTCCGAAAAGCCCCCACTGCGCATCCATTGGGTAGTCAAAGCACTTTCTCCAAACTTCTTTCTCACGCATCTCGCGCCCCCTCCCGCAGTGCAAGGGCGGCGACTCCAAGGAGCTGTCTCTGGGCGTGACCATCAAGAGCGGCGACAACGCGGTGTGGCACTGCTTCCGCGGCAAGTGCGGTTGGGCCTCTTCCGTCAAGTCCCGCTACCCCGCACGCTCGACCTCTCAGTTCGGGGGTTCCTACAGCCCCAGCACCAAGTCCCGCGAAACGGCTCTACAAAAAAAGCGCTTCCCCGCGACAAAGCTCCCGCGGCCCGAAGACTTTTCGGAGCTCGACGAGGAACAGCTTGCGTTCTTCAAGAACCGGAAGATTAGCGAGGGGACGTTTATAAGGAACGGGGTGAAGAAGGAACGGACGTATAGTCCGCAGCTGCAAAAGGAGGCGGACGCGCTCGCGTTTCCATACGTGCGCAGGGGCGAGCTCGTAAACGTCAAGTATCGCGGGCCGGAGAAGGCCTTCTGGCAGGTGAGGGAGGGCACTGGGCACAAATTTGACTGAGCTGTTTTGACGGATCGTAAGCGTAGGCAGTACATGTCCACTTCTTCTTGTCGCACTTCTTCTTGTCGATGGGGAAGGAAGAACCGTATTTACACTTCGAAGATCTTGTCGAAAGTTGGGACGAAAGGCGTTCTTCTTGACGAAAGCGTTTGTTGATTGAGGTTGCTTGGCGTCAGTTGAGCAGTATTTGAGAGGTTCCTGAAAAATCTATGGTGTGCAAGGAGGCGACCAAAAGAAGTTTCCTCAGGACTGGATATCATGGTGTTTTTAAGAGTTGGGAGATCGATCGGTACAATTTAATCTGCACTGTCCTGAAGTTACTGCCAATGTTCGTAGGCAGTCAGCTAAACTGAAGGTGCGCATACCTACCGGCAGAGGTGTCTACTGCGGCTGCTGCTTTCTGTTTTGGCAGCAGGTGTGGCCCGCTGCTACATACTTTGTTTTCTGAACTTTCGCCGAATTCCTTAATGGCATCCTCTTGTGTTCGGTGCCTTTCGGTGCCAGCCAAAGGTTTATGCCTGGGAGAAAATAGTAGACTTTACCGGAAGGTTTTCCCTTTGAGAAGGATAGTTACATTTTGCAGGAATTTCCCCGTTGTTTTCCTGTAGGTCTGGCAAGGTATAACGAGTAGTGTCGTGGCTAAATGCACCATAAGAGCCTCCATTTCACACCCGCAGATAGTAATTCTAGGGGTTTTAAGAAGAACCGTTCGTCCTTGCAGGTCAAGGGCGCAGAGAAGGTGTTTTACGGCCTGGACGACATTGCTGACAGCAAGACGGTGATCATCGTGGAGGGCGAGATGGACAAGCTGGCCATGGAGGAGGCCGGCTACCTCAACTGCGTCAGCGTGCCAGGTGCGCGTAGGTTTAGGCCTGGAGAATCCGCTCAATCAACCTAATACGTTCGGAATCACGAGTCGGTGCTCTGCGAATTTGAAATGCGATCAGTCCGCTAGTTCCGTTGGTTATGCAGGATAGAAGAAATCGGCGTTGGCTTCCTGGTGAAACTGATCGTCGATCGAGGTTGCATGGCAGTAAGGAGCAGTCTTTGAGAAGGGTTTTAAAAAGCCGAATGTAAAGGAGGCGACTAACAGAATTTTCGTCGAATTAGAAGCGATGGGCTGTCAAGAATTGGGTGATCGTCTCTGAAAGAATTTTCGCACTGTCCTGAAGTGACTGCCGATGTCCGTAGGCAGTTAGCTAAACTGAAGGTGCGCATATCTATTGGCAGACGTGTCTACTGCGTCTGCTGCTTTCTTTGTTTGGCAGCAGATGTGGCCCGCTGCTACATACTTCATCGCAGGAACTGTTTACTTGCATCCTTCTGTTCCATTGCCGGCCAACGTAGCCGGAATATTTCCTGGAATAAGCGAGCGTGCATTCAGACGATTCGGCTACTCTAGGATTGCGCGATTCCCCTTACGATGCCGTTTGTCGATGTTGACAGTTCGTTACCTTTCCACTGCTTAATGCACCATCGTTGTCAAATCTCGCTCACCAACGTGCATCAGTTGAATCTTCGAAAACGTATCTACTGTTTCCAATCTCCCCATCTTCTCAACCGTGCTCTTTGGCCCCCCAGACGGCGCCCCCGCGAAAGCATCCGACCCCGGGACCCCCCTCCCGGCTCCCGAAGCGGACCGCAAGTACGAGTACCTGTGGAACTGCCGCGAGTACCTTGACAAGGCCTCCAAGTTCGTGCTGGCCACCGACTCCGACGAGCCGGGGCAAGCGCTCGCGGAAGAGCTCGCGCGGCGGCTCGGGCGCGAGAAGTGCTGGCGGGTCAAGTGGCCGATGACGGCAGCGGGGCAGCCGGTGAAGGACGCGAACGAGGCGCTGATGCGCATGGGCAAGGCCGGCGTGCGCGAGGCGGTGGAGGGCGCGGAGGCGTTCCCGATCCGGGGGCTGTTCAAGTTTGAGTCGTTCTTCGAGGAGATTGACGACTACTATCACCTGCAGCTGGGGGACGAGCGTGGCGTGTCCACCGGTGAGGGATTTCACCCACTGTTTTTCTTGGTAGGATTCAAAAAAACTTGCATGTCGTGAGTTTAGCCTGGCCGTTAGTGTCGTCTTGCAACTTTGGAGCTAGCGGTCAGGTCTAATGGACCCACAAGCTTCGCTTGGAAAAGATTTGAAGAACTTTCATAAGTTCTCTTCTGGAAGGGTGTCGTCCACCTTCTCAGTGTCTGTTGTTCATTTTAACGGTTCGCTCCGGTTACCGAATGTTGGCATCAGTGCCGCACAAAGCCCGAACCACATCCATTTCTCGTAGCTTTGCTTATCTCGTGCTCGAGGAATGCTCGAGAGATTCCTCCGGGCGTCTGGTCGAAAAGTCCGTGCTCTCGTGCAGGTTGGTCCGGCCTGGACGAGCTGTACCGCATCGTCCCGGGGGAGCTGTCGGTGGTGACCGGCGTGCCCAACAGCGGCAAGTCGGAGTGGCTCGACGCGCTGCTCTGCAACCTGGTGGGACAGCGCGGCTGGACCTTCGCGCTCTGCTCCATGGAGAACAAGGTGGGGGCACCAAGTCAATGGTTTCAAAAAGCAACCGTAGCCGAGTGCGTACTGAATGGCGATCTTTTGGGCCGCTCAAATGTGGAAAGGTATGCTGCTCTAGAGTTCAAAATCGGTTTTTACTGCAACTCGATTGTGGGTTTGGCGACCAGGGTCGGGAACGTTCTGTAAATCAATGTGTATGGAAGGCAGATTATTGAGAGGTGCAGATTGGTTCTCTAATACCTGTGAATTTTCTGTTCACAATCTAAACATGATCAACTTCTTTTGCCGTCTGATTGGGTCAATTCAGCCGAGGCTTCCTCGGCACGAGTCTGACTTCAAAGTTTGTTCTCCCAGGTTCGAGATCACGCCCGCAAGCTGATTGAAAAGTTCGTGGGCGCCCCTTTCTTCGATGCCCCTTACGGCGAGCAGCGGCCGCGAGTTTCGCAAGAGCAACTAGAGGCGGGCAAGGCCTGGATCAACGACCACTTCCACGTCATCAGGTACGGACTGCCGCCCCACTGATTTGTTGGTCCTTTCCTCAACTTTGAGCAGCCTCAGCACACTTCAATTATTACAGCGTCCTCCAATCTTTACTGACTACTGATCTTCGTTTTATTCGAGAGCAACGGCTTCTTCGCCTCGAGTAGAATCGCAGAGACCAGAGACCAGCAAGCTCTGCTTTGACCGTCTAATTCCTCATCGATTCTACTCGTTGCTTGGGTTTCGGCTCTTCCCTTCTGAGCTTTCCAGGCTCCACTGCGATTGCTCTGCGCTTTGATTGCACATCCCTGATCTTTGGCTGGATCTTGCAATTGCGAGAATACTTGTCGCTCCGTTAGCCCGATCATCTTGTAGGAATGTGACATCGAGGTTTACTATACGCCGCTCCACCACCGAAAAGCTGTGATCAGGAGCCCCGTCTGAGTTTGTCGAACGTTTGGAAAGCGGCTCGTTCTTTCATCTTGAAGAGAGTTTCAGGGTCTTTCTCTCTGTGATCGTTGCAGGTGCGAGGACGACGAGCTCCCGTCCATCGAGTGGGTGCTGGGGCTGGCGCGCGCGGCGGTGCTGCGGCACGGCATCCGCGGCCTTGTGATCGACCCGTACAACGAGCTGGACCACCAGCGGCCGGCGCGGCAGACCGAGACGGAGTACGTCAGCCAGATGCTCACCAAGATCAAGCGCTTCGCGCAGCACCACGACTGCCACGTCTGGTTCGTCGCGCACCCCAAGCAGGTACGCAGCCATAGCGTACAGCGCTGCATTGATTGAGAATGAACGAAAAGTAGCATGAGGACGCGATCGGTGAACCTCCCTTTTGTGGGGCCAGTGTGCCGCCCTTCTTCCGCAGAAAAGCGGCGGGGAAAGTCTTCCGCTACATGTCTGATGTGGTTGGTCGGTTGTGGGCTGTGATCGAAGGTTTGTGTCCTCATACCGGCGAAGCTACAGATGCTTGGGTTTGGTCGTGCATGCGGAAGAGGTGCCGCCAGTCTGACCTTCCTTTCTGATGTAAGTCGCGTGAACAGTCTGTGATAGCAGTCACGGCTGGGTGCCTAGACCGGAAAGGTTGGTAGGTTGCTCTTTGTATGTGTCTACCGGCTTGATCACTTGATCTCGAGCTTTCCACTTGGCGAACGATCTGCTGAAAATTTGGAAACTCTGGATATTTTGCTTGGCTCTCAAACGGGCTGTGTTCAACGGGCGAGAATTCCGCACTGTCCTGAAGTGACTGCCGATGTCCGTAGGCAAGTCAGCTAAACTGAAGGTGCGCATATCTACAGGCAGAGGGGTCTACTGCCTCTGCTGCTTTCTTTGTTTGGCAGCAGATGTGGCTCGCTGCTACATGCTTTACCAGTTATTGCTTCGCATTGTTCTCTTTGTTCCCTCCCTTTTCCCGGTGACGACGAAGAGGACTTCGGTTTCTTCATTAATTAGTAACCGTGCATCCAGCCGGCCCGAGGCATACGCGTCTTGTCTTTGACAGTGCCAAGTCGTGCGCAACCGCTTTGACCATCTCAGTGCTTATTGAATTGTCGCAAATGCATTGACAGACTTGTAGAGGCGCGCTTAGCTTCTCCCGAAAACCCGTGGAGTCTGAACCATCTCTTGCGCGTTCTCCTTTTCCAGCTGCAGCAGTGGCGCGGCGAGGCCCCCGGCCTGTACGACATCAGCGGCAGCGCGCACTTCGTGAACAAGACGGACAACGGCATCGTGGTGCACCGCAACCGCGACCCCGAGGCGGGCCCGCTGGACGAGGTCAAGATTCTGGTGCGGAAAGTGCGCAACAAGGCAGCCGGGACCATCGGGGAGGCGTCCCTGCGCTACGACCGGTGAGCGCGCAGCAACGTCCAAATAAAGCCTAGGAGTTCCCTCTTATTTTGGAGAAGAAGCGGAACGTAAGACTGAGAGGCCACCCTGCGCTACGACCTGTGAGCGCGCAGCAATACCTGACCGATCCGCTCAAAGTAGATCAGATTCTCAGGTCACGTCTTGCTCGAGTTAGGCCCTTGGAGAAGCGAAAGTAGAAAGGGGATATTGGGGGAGGCGTCTCTTCGCTATGACCGGTGAGCGCGCAGCGAACTCCGATTAAATCTGCTAGGTGTGGATTTGACTTTTAGGGACTTTACCTCCAAAGCGGCGAGGCGGACTTGTGTTACGTCTGGTAAGCACGGAAGACTCCCGACCAAGTTGTTGAGTTATGTGCTCAGAGATTATTGGCTTCCGTTCGATATCGTCGGTGGTACATAAAGCGGTATTCACAGCGTTTCGTCTTCACTGGTATGGTGAAGGTCTTGACAACCTGACTTCGTTCCCATCCAGTTGGCAAGTAAAGTCGACAGGCATAAGGGTTCAGAAACCCACATCATCCGCAGTTTTTGTTGTAATATTCGTTTAGACAGTTGCCATGGCGGTTGGCACGGGTTGCCCTTTGCAGATGGAAGCTGGCCGCTTATGTCGCTCGATTCCATGCTGACCTTGGGACGCGTGTGCAGGGTTACTGGACGATATGAGGACGTCTTCTTTTAAAGAAATCAGACTAGTAAGGGCATCAGGAGGATGTACAGTCGTCGTACAGCTTAGTCGTTCGGATATACAGGATCAGTCAACCTAGGCATAGGTTCCTAGGCTTGGTTAGCATGAAGCTGGAGCTCTAAAGCACGCAGTAGATCACTTAGTACTTTGACTGCCATTGCAGCCCCAGCTCTTCATGTTACGACGAGGCAGACAGCTCTTCCTTGTACGACGAGATAGACAGTCAAGATAAGTTGAAAATAAGCGACTTTAGTTGTTGTTAGAGTTGTTGTAGTACCATGCCGCACATGTTCCAGCCAGCTCCTGCCTTTTGTCATCCCCCGTAACTGGTGTTGCATGGCGGAGCTTTCCAGCCTGAGATTGCCCAATTGCATCAAGGATCATCAACCGGATGTCCTCAGCCTGTAGTGGCCGCCAGCTCTCTTGTTTCAGTGCAACGGTGACATATGCACGTATGGGCGTGCGTCTGCACCACCATGAGGCGATCTGCACCTTCGAAGTTAGTCGCTTCTTG